TTTTTTTTTTAGTCTTGTCCTGAAATAACTACAGCTGCTCTCACACTCAGAAGGTAACGTCTCTCTGTTGCTTCTGCTCTCTGCAGGGATGCTGATCCTGCTGTCTGGGCTGATCTTTGGGATGTACTAGCGAGGACCAGATCAGACCTTCGAGCCTGTGGGGGTGCTTTGTACAATTCTAGTCAGCGTTTACCTTTACTGAAAAAATATACCTTTACTTATACTAATACCAATACCAATACTAATACCAATACTAATACTAATCAAACAGTTGAAACTTATAAGGGAAATAAAATTCCAAACGTGCGACTAGAAACAAGATGTAAATGTTGGAATGAAGCAACGTCTTAGATCACTGCAGGCTTCAGTTATCTCATGAAGGCAGGGTGGAAACCAGAAGGTCACCAGGACCAGGTCTACAGACAATCCTTCTCTTCGCCGTGACACTATGGCTTTCAATAGGACTTTTGCTAAAATGACTGGTTTCACTACTGCATTAATAAATAGCATCTGTGTGGGGAGCCAAATAAAGAGAATGAAGGAGCAGGGGAATAGAAATTCTGTCACTTTAAATGTAGTGCCTTTGCTACAGACTCCACTCTCCACAGACAATCCTTCCCTTCACTCCTGTCTGACTATCAGGCGTGACGCTTGCTCCTGAGACAGTCGTGACCCAGCGAGCTGTGAGCCCCTGATGCCGCCTGCAGGGAATTTGTGACCGAACACATTTCTGCTGCTATGAAATGAGGTCTTGATGAATGTGGTCTGACCTAACTTCCTTCCCTCGAACCCGGGACCTTAAGGCCGGATCTACTGCGGTCGTGGCTGTGGCTCAAGCCACAGAACTTTTTTTTAAAAAGTTCATAAACTATAGGATTCTCATTCCAGAAAATGTTGTGTTTCTTTTTTCCATCAGTATACTGTATGTATACTGTGCGAAACATTTTCTTTGTGCACTGTACATTCTGGTTTATTCTGTATATTTTGGACTGCGTGCAATTCTTCATACTCCATTTTTTTATTGCACCTCTTACTGGCTGTTTTTATTATAGTGTATTATTGCATTGCACTGTGTTGTGTTGATTGTGCCTGGCTGCTGTTGCACATTTCTCGTACGTTTATGCCTGAGAGCTGTTTCCCGACTCAGGCTGTCTCACATAAAGCACACCGACAGCAGAGCTACACTCCAGAACTGCAGAAGCTTCCCTTTGTCTCTCAGCTTTCTGTCCACTTTCTTTAGTTTTCACTTTCTTTTGCGCACTTTTGTTCGATGTGCTCCTGACCCAAAACGGCTGGAGAGGATCTTACTTCGTCGTTAGGTTAAAGCGCCAGCTTTTTATGCCAGTTTAGAGCAAAAAAAAAAAAACTCCCATTCCCATTATGTGCAACAAAAGAAGCATTAATCAACCGATGTTTTAATATGGTGTCATCTGGGTTTTTTCTGTTATGTGTATGAGGGAGGTGCTTTTAATGTACCCAGCAACACAAGTGAAGTTACCTGTGGGGCAAAGTAAAGTTCTTCCAAGTCTAAATCCCTATGGGAAGGGAGATCCCATCAGATAACTGTGATTCACCTGCTAAATATAGCCAAGCCTAAAAAACAGGATTAACAACATCACTTTATTAACCCTATACAATTTCTTGCAGTAGGAATTTGTCTATTCGATTTGATTCCCCACACAGTCAAAATCAGCACAACTCCTGCCCACATCCTGTCCAGCAGGATCTACCGGATCTACCTGACAGCCATTCCAGGCGATTCTGCTCCATGACGTGGCTTCGAAATCATGTGAAATGGGGATTGGCAGAAGCCGAGTTTCCCCACAGCTCAGGGCATTCATTTCGTGAATCAATAATACCCCCGACGCTTCCAGACTTTAGAGGTGGGGCATTGAAGGGAGGTCTACAAAAGCCCGCTCGTACGGTGGGTGTGCCGGGGGAAAGGGTTCGAGGCTTCCTTTCCGTGGTGATGGAGGACACCCCAGACACTAACGCAGGGATATAAGATGGGTCACAAACATGAGAAGGCCACTCCACCCATTTCGCCTATCTAGTTAGTAGCGAAGTGACCTGAGGATGTCACCCAACTGTGTCTGGAGAGAAGCCAGGGTATCGGCTTCAACAACATGGCTGGGCAGCTTGTTCCCCACCCCCACCACCCTCTGTGTAAAGAAGAGCCCACTGTCCTGACTGGAGGATCTCACCCAGCTGTGTCTTGAGAGAAGCCAGGGTATCAGCTTCAACAACATGGCTGGTCAGCTTTTTCCACACCCCCACCATCCTTTGTGTAAAGACACACCACTTCTCCACTTCACTTTGTCCTGTTTCTCTGTTTAAACAGGAAACAAAATCACCGAAGCATTTTTTTTTCGAAAACATCTCTTGACCTTGACTACCTTTTTGTAGAGAACTGTGTGAGTTCAACATAACCCTGGGTTTGATCTTGAGGGAGGTGGATTTCTTTTAGCAGAAAACTGAACAGTTAGATACATAGAATCATATTTCAGTTCTTCAGTCAGTCCTTGAGTTCAGGTGATTTCTGGGAATGGAATGGTACTTGTGTTGAGCCTTAATTGCCTTTTGTGTCTGTGGTCTAATTACTTTGCAATAAGTAACGCTGGGCAGACAGAAACAACTTGTTGACCCACCAACATTAAAAAGTCATTATGAATGGACAATACTGACTAAACGTGTAATAAAGAACATCTTAATAGTAACCTTATGAGCTTATAACCTTAAAAAGGCTAAATGAAGCACATTTCCAGGAAACATAAAAACAGAGAGAGTCTAGTCTGCTCAAGGAAATTTATTGTATCTTGTGGGCAATCATGGCACAATTAAAGGTGTAAAGGTGTAGATTTTTCAGTGTGGGGGTTAAAAACACCTGCCTCCCCATGAAAAATGACCCTTGTAAAAATACCTGATGCATTGTAACTGGTTTGTATGTCTCTGATGCACTTAACCGCTTATAATATAGAGATTCCAGTAATAAACAAGGAAGAGATGTTCCATAAATGTAAAGAATGAAGATGTCCCAAATCTTTCTTAGGAGAATGATTATTAATAATTAAGGACCTCCCTCTTTTGTGTAACACCTGGTACAAAAAGGCACAGCCTCAGGAACCTGTCATTCTGCATCTGGACGGGAGAGAAGACACTGCGGCTCACTGGAGAGAAGCCCCACAGCTGACCTGCAGGAACAAGGCAAGACTCTGTCTGCTCTCTTGAGCTCGGGCTGACCCTGACTCCTCTTGCTTCTCTACCATCGCCTTCGCTTACAGCTGTGCTTCTGCACACTCAGCTTTTACAGCAGATATGTGCGGATGCGTATTAACTTGAAACGCATGTGAACAGAATATGTATTGTAGGTGCATTTTGTGGTTGTACAGCAGGAGATTTCTAGTTTAAAATGACAGAAAATAAATGTTACAGTACGTATCTATCAGACTGTCGAATTACAATCCCAGCTTCCCTCATACTAAGGATCAATCAAGACGGACACATAACAGCAGTGAAGAAGACTCCCAACTGCGTCACCGCAGATAAGAAAGAATGATACCAAATTAGGAAGATGTTTAAATAAGAAATGTCTATCCTGTGTGTAAATAGCACAGTGGGTTACTATGTTACTATAGGGTACTACACTGTAGTAGTGGACTGTTCTATACGTTACCGTATTACAATACAGTGCTGCACTCTAATGTCAGTTACTGCACTGTACAGTATTATAGGTTATTTTGTTACTGTTGAGTACTGCACTCTTCTATATGTTTCTACACTCTGCTACTGTATTATACTACACCGTACAATATTATAGGTTACTATGTTACTATTGGGTACTGCTCTCTACTATAGGTTACAATACTCTACTATAGTGTACAACACTGTATTGTATGGGAGGTTACTATGTTACTACAGTATGAACTACTGCTTTCTATTACAGCTTACCACTATACTACTGTACTACATGTACTTGTACTGTACTATGTGTAGGGTACTTCTTTCTACTATAGGTTACTATACTGTACTACTATAGTGTATATGTTACTATGTCGCTATAGGGCACTGCATGCTTCTATGGGTTACTACATTTTACAGCTACAATGTACTATAGGTTAACACTAGTAATTCCTTACACTTATATAGCACTTTTCTGGACACTCCACTCAAAGCGCTTTACAGGTAATGGGGATTCCCTCCACTACCAACAATGTGTGGCCCCACCTGGATGATGCAATAGCAGCCAGAGTGCTTGCGTACACTCACCACACACCAGCTCTCAGTGGGGAGGAGAGCAGAGTGATGAAGTCAGTTCAGAGATGGAGATTATTAGGAGGCCATGATTGGTAAAGGGCAGGTGGAAATTTGGCCAAAACACCAGGGCAACATCCCTACTCTTTTCGAGAAACATCCTGGGATATTAAGTGATCATGGAGAGTCAGGACCTATGTTTTAAGTCTCATCTGAAGGACAAAGAAGGAGGAGGAGGTTACTATATTGCTATAACGTACTACTAGCACTGTACCATAGGCTGCTATATCACTATAGAGTACTGCACTCTACTACTATACTGTACAGCACTGTACCATAGGCTGCTATATCACTATAGAGCACTGCACTCTACTACAATAGTATACTGCACTGTACCATAGGTTACTATATCACTATAGAGTACTGCACTCTACTACTATACTGTACAGCACTGTACCATAGGCTGCTATATCACTATAGAGCACTGCACTCGACTACTATAGTGTACAGCACCTTACCATAGGTTACCATATCACTATAGAGCACTGCACTCTACTACTACTGCACGTGGAACGATCCTATTCCTCTCCTCCTCCAGATGGATCAAAGACTCAGCGTCGCCCTCCTGCTCCTGGGCCTGACGGTTCTTGTGGACGGACAGACTGTGGCAGCTCCGTTCACGGTGAGAGGCCTCCACGCGCTCGCTGTCTCGCGGCCGTCGACAGGCAGAGCGGTCGTGAGACACGGACGGCGCGTCGCCCTGCTCTGAGGGAAACGCACCGTCAGGACCTGCTTGCTAGTCTCACAGGTCGCTGAGCCTCAGACCATTTTTAATAAACGAGTAGCATCAGATGAAAAAAGACTTCAACCCCCCAAACTGCCAAGTGCATTAAAGCTGTTCGTATGAGACCTGTGAGGTACAGCTTGAACTGTCTTGATTCATTTCTATTTCTCACTCTCCACAGGGAAACATCACCCGGAACGGCTGTGGAGCTACTAAATTCTGCATTGAGACTCCCACAGGCTGTGACCCGGCTTCCGGTGGAAACTGTCTCTTTGCGTCCGCCGCTAGAGACACAACGAGCACCACCGGCATTTCTTTTAATCTCCAGGGAAACTCGAGCGGCTACATCGCTGCCATCTTATCAACCGCCGACAACAACAGCATGGTACAGTATGCATTCAGTAACGCCACCAGAAAGGGAGCCATCTTGGGAATCCTCAACGAAACCTCCATTTGGCGTGAGGTTGCCATTTTCATGTTCTCCCCATCTCGTTGAGCCAGAATGTTTATTTCAATCCCCTTCCCCCCAGTAGAAAGGGTGTCCTCTGAGTTGCTGCAGATTATCGTTGCTCGTTTCCTGATTTAAATCACACACCCACATTTTAATTAAACACACCCACAAGGGAACTGCAGGTTAAGAATGGATGGTGGGCTTTTGTTGCAGTAAAAACAATAATATATATTTTTTTAATTAAGTGCCTTTATTTACCTAAACTGCTTATTACTGTCCTTCAGACATTTAGGTTGCTGCCTACTAATTTCTTCTACATTTCTCCATCTTGGTCCGTCAAGACATACACTGTATCTGATGATGATTCTGCAGTCTTTGTGTGTTTATTCCAAGAGTCTTC